TCTGGGATTCTGGGATTCCTGGGGCACTTCTGGGTTGGTTTTGTTCCTGCCTGCAGTTGAGCTCTCTCAGAACTGTAACATCCCAGGGACAGACACAACCCTGAGGTGACCAATCCTGCCTGTGTGTTGCAGGGAAGCCGCCCGGGAATGCCGGAGGAAGAAGAAGGAGTACGTGAAATGTCTGGAAAATCGAGTGGCAGTCCTGGAAAACCAGAACAAAACTCTAATTGAAGAACTAAAAACTTTGAAAGATCTTTACTGTCATAAAAGTGTGTAAGAAAAGAAGGTAAAAACCTTTGGGGACTGGTGAAATTTCAGAGGAGAATTTTTTTTTTTTTTATACTGAATTTTTTAAACTAGATGAAAGGTCAAAAATGAAACTTTTCTACCTAGATTTCACAGCTCAAAGACTCTATAGATTTTATTTACAACGTGTTGGTGACAAAGTACAAAAAAGGAAACAAGAAAACCTCACCAAAATTCCTGCTGGCACAACTGGAAACTGATAAAAGTCAAGATTGCAGCTGCAGTGGAAGGACAGTCACGTGTGACGAGGCAGGTGATGAGAGTTTCTTTGAGAATTCCTACCAATACCTCTGATAATGGAGGCAAAATTTGGTTCCAGTGAAAACGTGGATGAAATGGAATCCTTGCCATAGCTGACATTATTAGTAACATTTATAACCAGTGTATGTTTTGATTTCTTACTCTTTTTCAATCCTTTCTCCTTCAGTTACTTGTCTGTAAATATTTTTATTTTGACCTGTAAGTTGGCATTTACAGGTGCAGGTGATACTTTTGCTCGAGGTATAAATTATGTTTTTCCTCTTTCTCAGATGGCAGTTTAAAAAAAGTAGGGATGATTTTTATCCATGTTTGCTGTGTTTTATCAGATTTGGGAAAAGGATCTGCAGAAGGCAGCGAGAGGCCTGGTCCTGGAAATGTCTGAGGCACAGGAAACTGTGCTGATTTTCCCCAGACAATTCAACACATCCCTGATTTTTAAAGCACAGTGTAGTGGGGACAAGGACTGATGACAAAAATCCTGAAGAATTTCCGAAATTCAAAACTTCTGGAAGTTTAATTTCACAGGAGGTTTGTTCTTAGTTCTGGGCAATGAGAAACATCAATCACTGAAAATTAAATTGTATTACAATTAAACACTCAGTGGCTGGGGATTCTCCTGGGCTTTGGAACACGAAACCAAATAGAAGAGAAATGATGCAGTAAAAAAAATGGAAGATCTATACCAAAGGGTTACGAGGTTCTAGTTTCTGGGTTATTGCTGGAAGTAGTGCAAAATTACCATTTCCAGCCTAATTTTGTAAGGTAGGAACTATTTTGCAAAGTGACGGTGTCTTTGTAAGCAAATATTCTATTGCAAACAGGGAGATGGTTGGTATATTTTGTAGCTAAATTGTGATCTTTACAAAACCTGAAATTGAGTTTCTATACGTATTTTGACAGTTTATATATTTCATTTTAGTAACCAAATGAAATATTTTGTGAACCAGATTTTCAAGGATATATTTTTATGGATAGTACAAAGTCAAATGAGATTCCTCTTTGGTGTAGGAGATATTTGAATTAATTTTGTATGTCTGTGGGCAACCTGCAAAAAAAAAAAATGGATCCTAAAGAGTATTGGGGGAAAAAAAAAAAAGAATAAATAATAAAGAAATCAGGGCTTTTTACTCCCCACAGTTGAGAGTATCTGCACATTAGATCTGATTGTTTCAGAGGGTTCAGTTTGTACACTTTTAATTTGTTTCAGGTGAAAATTAAGTGTTTGACATGATCAGGACTCATTTGGGTGGGGAATCTTCGTTCTTGGAGATGCCCAGAGCCATCTGGGGAGGATGTGGACCTGGGCAGGCTGTGACCCTGGGCAGGCTGTGACCCTGGGCAGGTTCTGACCCTGGGCAGGA